AGGGGGCACAACTGGGTGCCCCAAGCCCTGCAGCCAGCCAGTGCCCCCAGCTCCCACTATACACCATCCCCAGGCCAGGTGTCTCCTGACAAGGAGGGGTCCCCAGCAGGCACAGGGTCCCCAGTGCATGGCAGGGACAATGGGGTCCCACCAGGCCCCATCCTGCAGACACTGGGGCACAGCAGGACTTGCACCCCACAGTCTTGAGCTCAACCCCATCCTGGTCCGGAAACATAGCCATTAGCATGTAGCTAATGAACATGAAGAAGATATGCACAGCTCATTATGCTAAGGAGCATTTCTTTAAAATGTACCAAACCCTGAAATATTTTAAAAAAGTGCACTGAACTTTAGAGGGACTTTACATAACAGCTTGATTGGCAACTAGAACATGCCCCATTTCTCAAAGAACCCAGATGGGGCAGGCGGGGGGGGGGGGTGGGGGGGGGGGGGTGTCTTCCAGCACACAGCCTGCTTCAGCAAGGGCGCCTGGCCCAGCCCCTCCACTGTTCTATGCTGGTTGGTGAGGGTGGGAGGGACCTGTTAGTGCTTCAGGCCCCACCAGCAGCACCAGAGCCCCACTGGTAGCCCTCCCTCCTTCACCCCAGGGAAACTGAGGCACAGCCAGGCTGGAGAGGCCACGGCCATGGCACAGGGCTCCCAGGGAAGGGGCAGGGGTTTATCCTCCCCCAGGGAAGGGTCCCAGCTGTACAGGGGCAGCGGAACCTCCATCTCAAGGGTGCTCTGCAGGACCCAGGGTCTGTGCTCCCCCAGCCCCACACCTGGCACTGCCCCCGGCCTCGCTGCAGTCGCTCTGGAGTGAACAGTGCCAGAATTGGCACCGACTCCCCCATACCAAAGTGGGGGGGAGGCTATGGTGGGCTGCACCAGGGCAGGGGCACCTTTGATCCCTTCGTACCCCACACGGGCGGGGAGGGCGGGGGCTGCGCCTCCCTGCTTTTCCAGCAGCAGGAAAGCAAACATGAATGGGCAGGCAGGAGCAATAAACTGCAGGCAAGACCTGTGTGAGAAAGCTGGTACCTCCAGAGCCAGGGGCAGCTGCTGTGGGGACGCCCAAGCCTTTGAACCTCAGGGGAGCAGCTCTGGAGTGCCTGGGGGACTCACTGCACCCCTTACCATGAAAAAGCAAGAGACATAAATTCACAACTTGTTTAATGCCAGTTAGATTGCTTTACATGGAAAAGTTACAACACTTTTTTTTTCCACCATATGATGCCTTATATATAACAATGCTACAAGGTCGCAGACTTTATCACACAAACTCTGGGAGGACCTTTTGCTCAACCCGCCCGCATGGTTCAGCACTTACAGGTCACGCACAGAAAACACAAGCTTACATTAGCTTTGCTCTTTTCCCCACTTAACACGCTGCAGCACACTCCAGCCAGCCAACAGTGTCACACCGCTCGCCTACAGGAGCTGAGACACACGCACACACCCACCAACACACACTCTTGCAGTGGAAGACCTGCAGAGAGCACTTCTGGGACTCTGCTCCAGCCTTGGCAGTTGCGAGGAGGGTGGGGGAAGGCATCTGTGCCACGCTTTAATAGCTAAGTCAACCTGAATGGCGCGTTCTCGCTATGCTCGTTAGCCAATGCACTCAGCCACACATCAGCCATGGCTTGGAAATCACTAGCCATCCCTGCCAAGCATGATGAGAGAAGTCACAGTGAGCCAACCTGCTCCCAAGGCAGCTCCAGAGTGAGAAAAGAGAAGTGGTGTGTGCAAGTCCCTGGCAAGATAGGAGCATGATGCAGGGCCAGAGCAGAGGGGGGGCTGTCCCCCCTCTGCAGCATCCTGGGATGCAGCTGGGAGTGCCCAGCTGCAGATGCACTGCCCATCGCCCGGGGATTCCTCTGGGGGAAGCACCCACACTGCAGGGTGAGAGGCAAACCCTCTCCGAACTCCAGCCACCATCCCTGCAGCAGGCCTGGGACAGCAGCGAGTCCCAGCAGCACCACACTTGCCCCATGCCATCCCATGCTCTGGCTGGGCTGCCCGGCTCCCTCCTCCTGCTCCCGAACGGTCACAAACCGGCGTGAAACCATCAGCTGAGACCACGTGTGTGCCCCCACCCCCACCATCTATTTCTTCCTGGAGGAGAAAGCAGCATCTCCTGGGGGGGCCTGTGTCCGGATTCAGGCAGGAGACAATCCATGACAGACAAAACTCACAGCAGCAGCTACCAACCACCTCCACCCCTGGTGTAAACACTCCCCATCCCCTACAACCCAATAGGGCAGTATCACACAGGACAGACACCTGTGACGGACCACCTCTTGCTGCAGGTGGCCTTTCATTTCAGACTGCTCGCCAACTTAATGATCTGACTTAATTTTAACAACTCCTCAGTGCTTTGCCGTGATCCCTCCACCCCATGAAGTTTAACAGTGCCAGTGAACGTAATAAGCAACAGGAGAGGGGCTGGGGGCCATCAGAGGAGTTTTAAACCACACCCCGCGCTCCTGCAGCAGGAACTACAATAAAGTAGTTGCATTGAAACAGCATTTCAGAACTTACATTGAAATTCCATTTCAGAGGCAAGTGAGGCTGTAAGACAAGGATGGGACTGCCGGTTTGGGCTTTGGAGACTCAGCGCTGCCAGCCTGCCGAGGAGCAGCAAGCTCCCGGTACGCGAGCCTCCCGGCACGCGAGGTACCTGCGACAGACAGGGGTAGCACCGAAAGCCTGATCCCAGCCCCGTTACAACGGCACACGTGGTCAAGGCTGTAGTGAACAGAACAGCACCTCGCTGCCCTTCTCCAACCCAGCCTTCCTACACCATGGAAACTCACCTATGGATACCAGTGGCACTGGGGAGACACAGTCTTATTCCTACGGCCACCTCTACAGTCTGGTTTCAGGGAAAGAAGGGGAGGGAAGGAGAGAAAAAGTATTGCCTATGCACTCTACAGAGAACAGGTCAAGGTCTATATATACACAGCCGGGAAAATCCAAACGAGAACAGGAAACAGCACTCGCATCCCAGTGCACAAGAGAGGGCAGAAGGCAGGCAGGAGCCAGGCGCACGGCAGGGAGAGCGTTGGCACATGTACAAAGTAAGACAGGAACAGGCTGCTGCAAGCGTAACAGCTTCTCTTTAAATTAAAAGTAACACGTACACACAAGTGCTTTGCATCACATCCCACAGCACCCATCACACAGGCTCCAAACACACAACACTCTCTTCCCATACATCTTAAAAAAAAAACCCAACAAAACAAAAAACCCAACAATAGGTCCCTGGCTTTGATTTGGAGATTAAAAAAAAGCAATACTTCTTCCTTGCTTTAGAAAAAGAACCCCCCTCTTGCCCAGACATGGTGTTTCCCTCCTTCCAGCCAGAAGAGGCCACGCTCCCTCCAAAAAAAAAAAACAGATCCACATGAATTGTTTTGTTTCTCAAATACATCTCAACTGCTTTTGTCCTCAGGAAGACTCCAGAGCAACCAGCCTGCCACAAACAGCACTGTGGGAAGCTCCACATGCATGGAGGTTGTTGTTTGGTTGTAGGGTTTTGTTTTTTGTTTTCTTTTAAAGCCATTGTTTTTCCTCTGTTAACTAAGAGGATCAGCCCAGAACATGCAATAGCAATTTCAGAACTTTACAAATGCGCTCCTTCTGAGGTGAAGCCTCTTCAAGTCTCCTCCAAAGTTTAGAACCCAAAAGTGTATTTGAAGGCAGTTGTTAAGCATGCCAAAAAATCAAGCTGTATTAAGGGAATGACTCTATCAAGTACTACAGTACCTATTTTGGGTGGGGAGGTAAGAAAGGAAAATAAGCAGTTCTCCAGTTTCTTCACGTAATGGGGATGCCAGGCTATAAACAATGCCCTTCGACAATCAGAGAGGCTAACGCCCAGCCTGGAGTCTAGCCCCCTTGCACCAGTTGTATTGAACAAGTCTGCCTGGCTTCTACCTGCAAAGATGCACATCCGAGGAGAGAGGGACCCAGAGCAGCATGTTAAACCTGTTCCCACAGAGGCAGGGTATCTCTCCCAAGAGGGGACAACACAGCAGCCGGGATGGCCTCGGTCCAGTCTGAATGGTCCATGTCATACATGTTCTCTCCAGGACACAAACGTGAGAGTTTGAGGATGCTGGTTTAAACATTTCTCTTGTACCCGTTTCCCTCTGTGAAGGACGAATCCGTAAACCTTTGGCAGTTCCCTCCCCTCCCCAACCCCATCCCAAATACTGCCCAGCATGGTTCACAAGCACATATTTAATTATCATCTGTTGGGTCCATCCTCCAGTCACACTGGTGCTCCCTCCCCTTCTGGCTGATCGTTTGGGGTTCCATGCACACCAAGGTAATGGTTTTATCCTGGTATGTCAGGCTGTAGTCTCCTGGGTCACAGAATATGGGGTTTATCGTATCCTGGTGAAGAGGTTGAGAACAGATACAGACTCCTGACAAGAAAAGACAAAGCAGGTGCTAAATACTCCACAGTTGTGCTGCAGTGTTACTCCATGTGCTTTTCATTTTGTTTTTTTAACTACACCTGCTAATCTGGTGAGGTATCTCTAGCTCAGGGCATGATCTGAGCTCACCATTCAAAGTCCAACACCATAAACATTTCCATGGTTTTTTTCCCCAACTGGTAACAAGGAGCATGGCAGGCGAGCGTGCTGTTCCCACAGCTTTGCAGAAAGCTGTACTTCAGAGCTGTCAGAAACCAGGGGGACCCAGCAGCGAGCAACGCCAGCTCCCCCCAGCTCATTCCTTAAGATGTCTCTGCCATTCTCCACTACCTCTGCCAGACACCCAGAAAAGCTCTCAGAGCATTCTGGTACAACCTGCTTTCAGTGATGGCGAGTCGTCAGTGGCAGCATCATCCACAATCCCCTTTCCATCCAAGCCACCATTCTGAGTGGTTTGTAAGGAGCTCGGGGATAATCATCTCTGGGGATGGGGTCAGTTCATAGCAGCACGCTGGCAGGGAAAACAGTGGGCTCAGGGTGAGCTCCCTGAAATGCTGCTGTGTTCAGCAGCCCTGTAACAGCCAGGAGAAGGATGTTGTGTCATGCTGCCTTGGGCACACAGAGGCAACCTTTTACTTCATCTGTTGACCACAAATCCCTTTCTATCTTGACAAAGTTTAACCCTTCACTGCATCCAGCCCTCAATCTGCAGGGTATGGCAAAGAGATCAGAGGCAAGGCAGCGTAACAGAACAAACCTGGGCTGAATTCACCCCCAAAGGCTGAGACTCCTGCAGGACGCAGCTGCAGCCACCCACACAACGCATCCTTACCTTTGTCGAGCGAGTTTTACTGAAGACATTCCAGAAGCGCAAGGTTTCATCTCCAGCTCCTGTAACTATGGCCTCACCATCAGGGGACATTGCCTAAGGCCAAGAGAGAGCAACCTTTAGCATCTCTTACATTTTTGAGGTTGAAAACATCTTCATTGGAATACTAGAGAGATTTAACTCTCCTTCCTACTTGGCTGGCGGTGAGAAACCAAACAATTACCTCTGCTTTCACGTGTCTTAGTCTCAGTAGGTGCCAATTCAAGCACTTGCATTTTACTTATGCAGCTATGGAACACATGGGTGGAATTATCATAAAAAGGATTCCTGTGTTAAGAAATCCAAGCCATTTGTAATTGATAATTGACACTATTTCTCCCCAGATTATAAATGTAAGTTAAGGCAGGAAGCGTGATATGGCTGATATTTGCCAGCTCCATTAGTCACCTACATTGGAATCTACCTCACAAAACAGTATCAACGTATTTATCATCTCTGTCATGAAGCCGCTGAAAGCCCTACGTAACAGTAACAAAGGAGGTACGAGATCAATGTAGATTAACTGCACCAAGCATTTTGATGACAAATTAGGAGGACTGAAAGCATCAAACTCATCCCCTGCTGGCAGTCACCACTGAAAAAGCGTACAAGTCTTGAGGGACCAAGAAGAGATGCTTGTGCTTCCTCAGAAGAGTTTTGGCAGGCTTTGCTACTCATTAATAAAGCCTCACATTTCCATAGCAGCAAATCAAAGTTACCCTTGCAGGCAAGGAAACCAGATGCAGAATGTTTGTTTCATTGCTTGCAGCGCAGCATTAATATCTCCACCTAGACTACAGGCAGCTTACGGTGCCACCGGCACTGCGGCTTTGGGTCTTGTCTCAGCACACGCGCCACCAGATAAACAGCTACAGAAGTTTTCAGAGACGTGGTCATCGCTTACCAGATATAAGACTCGGTACGAGTGCCCTGTTAGCTTTGCTACTTGAGTTAATGAGGGGTATTTCCAGACGAGGATCTGGTTCTGCGAGTATCCGTGGGTACTCACCTGAAAGGGGAGAGGGAAACATGCATCATGCTTCCTAACACAAGACAGCTTATAGCAGGACTGCACAGGGAGGAACTTACTAGCTCGTTGGCGTGTTTTGACCAGGCCAGGTTACACACTTGCGACCCAGTGTCAATGCACTGCAAAGGCTGCCCAGTGAGCGTGTTCCAGAAGCGTATGCAGCGGTCAGCTGTCCCACCGCCGGAAGCAAGGAGTCCGTGCTGGTGTGGAGACCAGGCGATAGCTTTTACTGCTGCAAGATGCTCTGTGTATTGTTGGACAGGACTCAGGCTGGAGTGATTCCAGACAAGGAGCTGGCAGAGAGGAGAGACGTGATCAAACTTGCGCTGCAGTCATGCATCTGCAACACCCACAAGCCACGATGTCGCACTGGGACTGGTGAGGGTGGCTAGACAACAACATGATTTCCCACAGCTCTGTCCAAGCACACGCATCTCCACTCCACACTCGCAGCCCTGAAGCCAGTCCCACCCTGCCACCACACTCGGCTGAGGAGCCACTCACCTCTCGACCATAAGGAAGCTAACAGTCCCTTAAGTGAAGCTTATGAAGCCAAAGACACAACATTAACATTACTGAACGTGAACTCAAACCCTTCTTTTGTCTTTATGGCTGTATTATTCCAGAACACATTTAGAAATATGCTCAAGTTCATTAGAAGTTATTCTGAGCAGGAGGAACTCGGTACAACCATGCTGTCACACAGACACTGGGCAAATTCACTACCTAGCAACCCGCTCCAAAGGGCTCTGAACACTGCTTCTCCAGAACAGATGCTTCTTCCATATGGTGCTCAGTGAACTACAAGCCTGCATTATAGGTATTAGAACTTACATAGCTCTAAACTAAATCTCCTTCTATATACATAAACATCATTGCAAAAAACTTGACTATACACTATATAAACCAAGTCAGGAAGTACAGCTTAGCAGTGGCTTTGTTGAACTCAAACCCCTGAGTCAAGCTATAGATTTAATTAGCAAAATACAGAAGCAAAATTAAATTTGCCTTTTTAATTTTATTAGAGAGAGGAGAGAGAGTAGAAGCTTAGCATGATTTATGCTTGGACAAAGTCCAACAACTGAAACAAAAACCCCTTTCAGAAAGGTTAAACATCCTTAAAGAAAGGGAGTCTGACATTTCTTGGTGAAGATCTAGAGACATTGAGCCTCACATGACTCCTTGGAAGTACTATACCTTATTATCATTTCCTCCAGAGGCCAGGAGCTGGTGGTCTGTAGACCATTTGAGCCCACAGACCTCCTGCCTGTGGCCCTGGAGCCGCCGCTCGGACTGTAGGGGTGGGGTGCGGATGTCCCTCTGAAGGATCATTCTGTCTCGACTCCCAGAAGACAGCTGGTCCGCGTTCCATGCCAAGGCACCTGTAACGCAGGCAGAGCATAAGAATATGTAGTGGGAGTCCTGCAGGAGCAGGTAGGCAGAACACAGCCATCACATTGCCAAGATTTAAAAAAAAAAAAAGTTAAAAAAAATTAAAAATACCCCAGTGCTTACAGACCTCCTTTACATCCACTGTCTGAAGCCCTAGAATAGCGTACAAAGAAAGATTAACCTGCACAACCTTACTGAAGGTATCACTAATCCCATTGCACAGTGCAGTAAAGCACAGAAATAGAACTGAGAAGGTGCCTTGACTCCCAAAATCTCACTCCAATGTTCAAATTCACAACACCTCCGAGCAAAAAAACAAAAGTCCCTGTAGAATAAGGGAACTGGAAATCTCAGTGTAAAGCAGCCTGCCTGCAGGGCTGAAACCGGAAGCCAGTGGCAGTGAAAATGATGTTGTAACCAAACCTAAAAAGCCTCAGACTTGGAGGAAACACCTGCTGCAATAGTCAAACACCACCACACCCAAGATCAGAACACTACAACTACTAGACGGTAATATTTTGAAAACTGCTCAAGACATAGCAGGGAATAAATATAAATTCTAGTGCTTTTTGAGTTCTGCTATTTCAAGCGGATCTCTTGCTTACAAGAAAAAAGTTCAATCATGAAGAAACGAGACATGTGAAACCTCTGCCTCCCACCTCCTTACCAACTCTGGCTGTGTGCCCCTCTAGCATGGAGAGCTTTTTTCCTGCAGCTGCATCCCAGATCTGTACAAAGCCCTTGTGAGTGCCAACGGCTACCAAGTTACCCTAAACAAACAGAAAACCATGATCAGTAAAGCCAGTAAGTAAAGACAAAGATAAAACAAAAGCTAGAACCTGAGGAAAAGACTTGAGATAAATCCCACAAGATGGAAAGCATCCAGAGTTGTTGCATCTTACATCTTTTCTCTACTGAGAGGGCCAAGCAGCCTGGCTGGAATGTATTTATTGTAGCGTTTATTGTCGAGAGCTGGAGAAACAAACTGTCTCTTTCTCCCTCCCACACCCCTTAGCAAACGTCTTGAGAACCTCAAGATACAAGAGGTTGCTCTCTATCCCCTCTCATCTAGCAGAGAAAAATAGTGCAGACAGGAAAACACATTTGATTTGTGATGCATACAGGGCATTTGGGGAAATACGGGAAAATAACCCAAGAAGTTAAAACCTGTGAGGAAGAGTTATATGGCCGCAATGACAGCGTCTAAATTACAAGCGTTTCAGTTCTCATTGTTGATAATATTATACTGACCCGTTCTGACCAGCCCACAGATGTTACAGAGTCTCCTTCCACAGAGAGATCACACAGCCGGGTTACCTTGAATGTAGGACAGAATGGAATAAGAAACACTTGTTATTGTCATACTACTCTACTAGCTGTCTCCCTCATTAGTACCTACTTTGGGACAGAGCATTTCAAGTGCTGAATCCCTCACACAGCATGTTCCATAGCTCTGAAAGACACTATGGCTGGAGAAAAGACCTACAGCAACAAGTACTTCACTCTCCAGGCACGCATGATCATTTACCTGGCTAGTACAAGCACTCCACAGGTAAACACAAGTCCCAAGGCCAACACTGAGGACGTTAAGAGAGGACCAGTCCACCAGGTTCAGGTAGAAATCGTCCTGCAGCTCTGGGGCATCCAGCACTTTGAAAGGAATCTTTGAGATTTTCCGAGTTGGTTTTCGAGGTGATCTTAGCAGCTTCTGACTGTTTACAAGAACAGATATAAAAACAACTATAGGATCTTGCACATCACAGCAGATGGTAGACACAGATGTAGCCACTCTTTAAAGCATACCTGCATTTCTAAGAAATGCACAAACCAAGAGCCACAAAATTCTTTCCAGCAGGTAAGACTGGAAGGAATTAGGTTCCACTTCTGTAAAGAAGCTAGGTAACAAAAAGGTAAACTGACTACTGAAAGTTGGCCAAGACATGTTCAGTATCTAGGCAGGTTGGATGCCTGCAGAAATTCAGAGCTTCACCATCCATACTTATTATCTCCCCAGATTTCCAAAACTAATTCACATAGCAGTTTTGGGTACCTTAGAAAGAAGCCCTAGAGAACCTCACTGAATCCTCTGTCCCAACCCTTCTCTTCTCACAGTCTGTGGAGAATCAGTATTACCTTTTGTTGCTGACAGGAGACAGGGAATACGGTGAGACCTCATTGCCATCATCTGGACTAGAGCGTTTTGTGCTGAGCGAGTACTGCGTAAAGAAGACACATCTAGTAAGAACCTCAGCGTGCCCAAGACCTAAGGGATCACTTGCAACACGCACTAATGCCTGATGCCTAGCTAACTCCAACACCCACAGTCAGATTTTCCAAACTTTTCAGTTCCTCCCTTTCCCAGGTGCTCTGGAACCTCATAAAAACACCTCATCTCCACTGAAGTCCAAAAGCTTGATTTGGTCATTTACCATGCTGTCCCAAGCTTGGTTCCAACTCTGTTTCCCTGCCAGTATAGCAGTAGGAAGTACATAGCTTGCTGTAGATACTTAGGTTCTCTTTACAGGCCACCAAATTTTGTTATCAACAGCTTATCTTAGTCAAGCCACAACACTAACTCACTCGCACTAGGAGCTCAGCAGAACTGTGTGCTTTGTTCCTGTGACGCACACATGCAACCTCCACTGGTTTTAATGCAAAGTAACCAACTTACAGTGAAGAGAGACTTCTTCTCTGGGGTGGATGGCTGCAGCCTCCTGTCTTCCGTCTGTGGGTCTTGCACTTTCTCGATTCCTGCTCCTAAGAGTTCATTCTTCAGCAAGGCAGAGTAAGCAAGGCCATCTGCAAACCCAAACAAGTGCTGAGGCAGAGAACTCGGAAGCAGCTCTGTAGGGAGTGGCAGGATCACGTCTGCCTGACTTGTACATTCACAGGGCCTCTTAATAAGCCTGGGGCCCCAGTCTGGAATCAAGATTAGCAGCAAGCTTCCCCTTGTTCCATTCTATCAGGAAAGTGCTTCCATGGCACAATAAATCAAGGGATACAAATAGCCTCTCGCCTCCCAGATGCTCATCAAAAGCCTATTGAGGTGACCCGGTATTCATTCTCGTAATGTGGGCATTTCCTAAAACACCAGCACGAGTTTTTGCACAAGCACAAAAGTGCTAGTGTTCCCTTGATTTCCAAACTTGTTAACAGTTTGAAATAAAAGCTATAGGCATGGCATACGTGGTCAAAAGGTGGTCTCACCTTTGCCATTGTCTGATGTAGCATCCTTTGCTTTTCTGTTTTGACTTGGTGATTTTTCGTTTTCCTGAAAGGGAGAAACATGCTATTACCATAGAGAAACCTCATGATGTATGGTAAAATAACAAATGAAGAAGTCGCCTGGCCCACAGGGACAGCCTGCTTGAAGACATGCATTCAAAGGAACTCTTCTGAGGCAGCAGAAGACCATGATGCAGAAGACAAGCAGAGCAATTATGCCAGCCAAAACAAAATGCATCATTTTCTTAGTTCCAAGACTGAACTGTAGGGAACAAAACTTACATTTATTCTGTGGAAGTTGATGCTCCAGTTAGCCCCAGCTCTTGAGGGAATGAATCTGTCACCATGCTTACTAGGAGAAGACATTGGAGAATTGGAAGGCGTCAGGGTTCTTCTCATCTCTGCTACCTGAATTAAAGAATAAAAGACACACACAAGAACAAGTGTTGATGACGGCAGGGGCCTGAAAAACATCGGTGAAGTCTTGTCAAAGCTGAATATGCCTAAGTAGGAGAGCCAAGCATTAGTTTATCCCCTTAACAGAATTAGTAAGCACATCAGAGTCCAACTGTCATGGGAATTTCTGTCAAAAGAGACAAACAGCCTTTCTCACTGCTCCTTCTCAAGCTGACATGGTCAAGGCAAACATGTAGAAGGCTGGAGAGGGGCAGACTGCTTGCAGGGTGAGCAGCAGATGATTCTTCAACTGCAATCACATTCCTTTTCATGGAATAATTATGTTGGAAAGGACCCCAGCTCATAACAGAGTGAATTTCTAAGTTACATTGAAGGTCACAGCCTCATCCAGCTGAGTTTTCAGCATCTCCAAGGACAATGACCCCACAAGCTCCCTGTTGCAGCATCTGGATGCCCTCACTGTGAACATTTTTCCCTAATATCTAACTGGAATTCCTTGTTGCATCCATTGCCTCTAATCCTTCCACTGTGTACCTCTGAAGAGATTCTGACTCCATTTTCTCTATAACCACCCACCAGGTAGTTGAAAGCACCAATTTCATCTATCCTGAGCCTCATCTTCTCCACGCTGAGCAACACAGGTCTCAGCATCTTCCTGCTCCAGCCCCCTGACCATCTCGGAGGCTTCCGCTGGACTTGCTCGGTCTTGTCAAGCCCTACAGTTGGTTTGTTTTGCTTGTTAGCCCCCAACTTTTTACGTTCCACAAGTACTTACTGAGATTATTTAGTAAAGAGGCATTACTGAGCTACCTAAAAATATCTTAACTCCTTTTTGCAACATCAACTGAGTTTATATATTCAAAAGCTTTGGTTATTATATTACATTTTGGTTTTTATATTCAAAAGTTATTTGGTTGTTCCTTGAACAGCTCAGGAACTCACACCTGCTCACAGCCCAACAAAAGACTAAGGTTTGCTTCAAAGAGGTCCCATATCTTTCAAAAGCCTGTGACTGTTTTCACTTGAGCAAGACAGACAACTTAATAGCCAGACTAAGACCATTTAGCATAGCCCATTTGTACTTACGCAAGGCATTGTGTTTTCATTCTGTATGTTGATTTGGCGTAGGAGACGCCTCTCATAATCCTGATCCATGGTGGAAAGCAGAGGGGCTAGGGAGTTCAGC